GTTCAAATCCTGCGCGGCAAATGGTGGAATTTGAATTCAATAAAAATATCTGGAATTTAGAATCTAATGATGACCGTGAATCCATTATCGATTGTCGGAAAAACCCATCTGGTTCACTAATGCCCTTTAGGGAAGGAAACTGCCATCCTTACCTGGTCTGGCCTACATGTGACTCCATACCCTCAGCAATGTGGTTGACTCTGAACTGCCCTCTGGGCAATTAGGGATGGGCAATAAATGCTGCCTAGTCAGTGATGCCCTGATCCCATGAATAAATAAAAGAAAAATAAATAAATAAGAAATAGGTTCAGTGGTTAGCACTGCTGCCTCACAGCACCAGGAACCCGGGTTCAATTCCACCCTCGGGTGACTGTCTGTGTGGAGTTTGCACATTCTCCCAGTGTCTGTGTGGGTTTCCTCTGGGTGCTCCGGTTTCCTCCCACAGTCCAACGATGGGCAGGTTAGGGGGATTGGTCTTGCTAAAATGCCCCATAGTGCTCAAGGATATGCCGGCTAGGTGGATTAATCATAGTTAATGTGGGGTTATGGGATATGGTAGGGATTTGGTTGGGATGCTCTGTGGAGGGTCAGTGCAGAGTCAAATGGCCTCTACTGTAGTGGGTTTTGTGATTCACAAGACTGCTTCCAGGGATGAGGGACTTCATTTCCGAGGACAGAATGGAGAAGCTGGGGCTGCTCTACATAGAAAGTAGAGAAGAGAGTGGAAATTTGAAGGAAGTGTTCAAAAACATGTGGAGTCTGGGCAGCATCAGTAGGGAAGATCTATTTTCAACAATGGAAGGATCAAGAACCAGAGGGCATCAGGCTAAGGTGGCAGGGAAAAGAAACATTGGCAACATAAGAAATAGGAACAGGAACAGATCATTCGACCTCTTGAGTCTGCTCTGCCATTCAATATGATTACGGCTGATCTGACATTTCTCATTCCCTTTCCTGGAACAAAAGCTTGTTTTCTACACATCAGATAGTTATGGACGGAGAATTCACTCTCAGAGAGTGAGGTCGAGGAAGTTATAATTGTGGCTTTCAAACGGGGGACTGGAAAATTCCCTGAAGGGAAAACATTTGCAGGCCTCTGGAGGAAAAGACAGGAGAATGGCATTCATCAAGCTGCTCTTGGAGACAGCCAGCGCAGGCCTATGGGCCAAATAGCCTCCTGCATTCTACCTCTGTGAGCCTATGATAATATAAGAAACAAATTCTCTCCCACTAAGTTCAGAAACAGTGTCTTTTCAATTAGTGTTCATTAAAAATGGTTGCGTTTGGAAGCATACAGAGGTTAACTAAAGAGAGCAAGTAAGTCAGTTGCCCAATCATGGTTCATACTAGCCTAGAAATTCCATACTGTAGTGACTGATTTCTAATGGAACTGATTTTGGCATCAAGCCTTGCAAAACAGTGCTCACAGTTCGTGTAAGCACTACAGTTAAACTGGTTTTGCAAACTTTACTTTAAAATCACTTTAACAAAGATCAGGGAAGTGTGGTTTAACAAACAAGACAAATGAGCGGCAACTGAGTTGAAACGTGATTTTTTTAAAAACTAAATTAGAGTATTATTCACGCAGTCTAGCTCCAGAACCTCATCTGGCCAGTGTATCTGATCTCCCTCTTGAATATTTATCTTGGGTTTCTATGGGAATTCATTAATATTCCACTCGAGTGGATTATGTTGGAGTGGTTTCCAGTTTCAATCTCACAATGAAAGCTGTCCCAGTCAAAGCAAGATGTGTTCTCCCAGTCTACAGGGAAGTATAATCACTGTTAAGCACTTGTTGAAAGCGTTTGAATCTCCTTTTGCCTACACTCCATTCTTGAACCAGAGATGAACTCTCAGTACAAATATATCAGTGACAAATTGATCTCGTGCCCAAAATATATTGCATATCAAACGAGAATGAGCAATTGAAGAGAACTGCATTGGCAGGTCACTATTCTTTCTGACTTCAGGATTTATTTAATTGTCCCAATTACAAACTGACTGTGTATGATCTTTTTGCAATCCATGCTCACTGCAGTTGAGCTGGAAAAATAATTTTGTTTTCCTGACCTATCGAGCAACCTCTTTTTGGCAAACGCTGGGTGAACTGATCTTACAGAAGGTTTGGGCGATATTCACTGGAGTTTAGAGGGGGGAATCACACAGAAACCTATTAGGGTTCTAACAGGAAAGATGTTGGGAAACTTGAAAGGGTTCAGGAAAGATTTACAAGGATGTTGCCATGAGCTGTAGGGAGAGGCCAGATAGGCTGTGGCTATTTTCCCTGGAGTGTTGGAGATTGAGGGGTGACCTTAAAGAGATTTATAAAATCATGAGGGGCATGGATAGGGTGAATAGTCAAGGTCTTTTCTCCTGGGTGGGCGTATCCAAAGGTAGAGGGCATAGGTTTAAGGTGAGAGGGGAAAGATTTAAAAGGCACCTAAGGGGTAACTTTTCCACACAGAGGGTGGTGTGTGTATGGAATGAACTGCCAGAGGAAGTGGTGGAGGCTGGTACAATTACATTTAAAAGGCAACTGGATGGGTAGATGAGTAGGAAGGATTTAGAGGGGTATGGGCCAGATGGGACTAGATTAATTTAGGAGATCTCGTCGGCATGGACAAGTTGGGCTGAAGGGTCTGTTTCCATGCTGTAGTTCTCTATGACTCTATGACTGGACAGGGTAAATGCAGGAGGGATGTTCCCAAAGACTGGGGAGTCCAGGACCGGGATCACAGTCTAAGGATACACGGTCGGCCAAAAAAGACTGAGATGAGGAGGAGTGTCTTGACCCAGAGAGTGGTGAGCCTGTGGAATTCTCTCAAATAGAAAGAGGTTGAGGCCAAAAGATTGAATATTTTCAAGATGGAAATGTTCTCAGTGGTAAAGGGATCAAAGGGTACAGTGTCAAGGAACAGGCTACTGAGTTGGATGATTAGCCATGATTATATTGAATGATGCAGCAGGTTCAAAGGGCTGAATGGCCTACACCTGCCCGTGTTTTATGTTTTTAAGGACAGAGAGATTAACAGCTGCAGATATTTGGTATGGGTTCCCCATCTTTATCAGGCACAGTTCTGCCTTGCTGCTGAGCCTAACTGGGAGAGTATATGGTGGTGCTCTTGAGGAACACTGGAGTTTTCACCGATATAAGCGATGCCTGAACAGTTTGTGACCTAATGGAACAAAAGTGATTTGCACTTAATTGTATATATAAAGAAAGCACTAAACATTGCAAACGTACCGTACTGATAATTTGAATTCGTTCATGATATTTTAGTCATTTTGAATCGAATTACTGATCTGAACTGAACAAAATAAGTAACAAAGGAAAGTGGGAACTTTTAAATGAGTGACTTTAAGCAAAACACCCTTGATTTAAAAGTTTTGAAATTATGTGCTTCATGCAGCTCATGGAATGTTATAGAGGCCAATACACCTAATCTATGGAAGTGCTTTCTCCATAAGTAACCTCGACTAATCCTAGCCCTTATTCTCATAACTTTAACATTTCTCAAATAAGAATCTCCCTTGTAAAAATAAAATTGTATATTGGGTCAGGCAGCATCCATGGAGAGAATGAAAGCTAATGTTTCAAGTCTAGATTTGAAACGTTAGCTTGTTCTTTCTCCATGGATATTACCTCACCCACTGTGATCTCCAGCACTTTTTGTTTTCAGTACAGATTTCAGCATCTGCCGTAGTTTGCTCCTGCATGGAGTATTGGTACATTGTACCTGCCTGTTTGGCCATTCAAAGTTGTCAAGACTGATCTGCAACTTAGCTCCACCTTTGCCTCATCATCTAAAACATTCAGTTCACAAGAAATTGTCAATGTTATAAACAGAAAGATAATCTGCCTTGAGTTTCATGAACTTCATGTTTAGCTAATAGTCTGCTATGAGAGATTTTAATCAAATGTTTTGTGGAAATATATATAAATAACAACTTGCAACACTTTGGCATGGACAAGTTGGACCAAAGGGTCTGTTTCCATGCTGTACAGCTCTATGACTCTATGACTTCCTGACCACAACTTCAGTTGTCTCATCAGACATGACCCATTGTTTGTAAAATTCTGCTGCTACCTCCTTCAATAACAACTGCTAAGCACTCCATGAGTTAATTCATTTTTTTTAAACCTTTTAATAGATGTTTTTAAATTGCACCCTCAATCATGTTGCAAAGCAGGCAAAATAATTCTGAAAACATCAATCAGGTCAACACTTTCACAATTCCAGATATTATCCTAATCAACTTGTTTGGAGATGGTATTGCAGGTTTCCTGGCTCAGAGCTAGGGTCACTATCACTGTGCAAAAGCTTTCCTACTTTTTCAAATCCATCATCACCGTCAATATTTACTTCCCAACCCCCATTGTTAAACAGATTATCTGACCATTTATCTCATTGCTGCTTGTGGGAACTTACTGCGTGCACATTCGCGTTTTATCACATTGCCAATGTAATGACTTTGGCTATGAAATGTTGCATAAACAAATTTCCAATAGTGCTGCCTTTAATACTCATAGAATCCCTATAGTGTGGAAGCAGGCCATTCATCCCATACCAACCATCCAAAGAACATCCCACCCAGACCCATCCCATCCCTGTAACCCTGCAGTTCTCATGACTAACCCACACATCTCTGGACAATTTAGCGTGGCCAATCCAACTCACCTACATGTCTTTGGACTGTGGGAGGAAACCAGAATATCCAGAGGAAACCATACAGAAACAGGTAGAATGCGCAAACTCCGTACAGACAGTCACCCAAGGGTGGAATCAAACCCATATCCCTAAGTGCTGTGAGGTAGCAGTGCTAACCACTGAGCCACTGTGCCACCCTACTCTTGGCATTCTTTCATAAATAATTCGTTCTTTGAGGTGATTTAACAAAAATAAAATTAAGACATTCTATAACATTGACCCACAATATGTTTTTTCAGGACAATTTCCCCAAATCCCTCAAAGTTCTCCAAACAGCCGGCTATTACTCACCTTGCAGCCTTCACAAGTAATGACACCATAATGGATTCCTGATGATTTATCTCCACAGATCTTGCATGGGATAATTTCAATTTGAGCTGGAACAGAATAAAACGTGTTTGATCACAACCTTACTTTTTATGTACTTCAAACCATTTCCTAAACAAACCTTTTTTTTTTAAACAGGTCAATCTAATAAACATTGCCCATATAAAAATATCATTGTGAGGAAGTACAGATAAATTGCTGGCTTTCAAGATTTCTGGACTTATCAACCCAGACAATAATGCAAAACACTCTGACCAACAATGTTAGTACCATTCTGTTAGGAAATGGCTCATTTGCAGTTAAGTAGAAACTAAAACCAATCAGATTGCCACCCTTTTCTGAAGAAGGGTCTAGACCTGAAACGTCAGCTTTCCTGCTCCTCTGATGCTGCCTGGCCTGCTATGTTCATCCAGCTCTACACCTTGTTATCTCGGATTAGCAACAGGGTGGCAAAGGGCATTTGGTGAATGTTTGAGGCGGTAGAGTCGAGGGTGAGCACCAATACCGTTGATAAATTCAAGCAAAAAACCCACTTCTGATTCAGAACGATAGAATGGCCTGGATTTTACATGACCAATGAAGCTGAGACCGCCACCATTGAAATGGAAGGCAAATGGAATCAACACATAATCTGAACATGAAGTTATAAATAAATTTGTAGAATCTCTAAAGTGCAGAAAGAGGCCATTCAGCCCACTGGGTCTGCACTAACCTTCCAAAGAGCACGCCACCCAATCCCTGTAACCTCACATTTAGCATGGCCAATCCACCCTAACCTGCACATCTTTGGGCTGGGGGAGGAAACCCACGCAGACACAGGGAAAAACGTGCAAACTCCACACAGACAGTCACTCAAGGGTGGAATTGAACCACATCCCTTGCGCTTAGGGCAGCCACGCTGACCCTGCTCTAGTCACTCTCAATAGCCTCAGCTTCTGTAGGACATACACTGTTCTGCCAGGTCAATAGGAAATTAATGAAATCACTAAGAGCTCTCACTCTTACGCTTTTTGTCTTGCTGTAAAAACCCTTGAAAACATTAAACCAATAATAGTTCGTTGAAATGTGGTTCAGTGGCAGAATTATTCCTGCCAATCTATATTATTTGCTCCAAAAGCATGGTTTTACATCTGTGGAATGTCAAATCTCGTTTATGTGCCCACTCTCTGCAGCCGTAACTTTGTATACCTCATTCAGTTCTATTACTCTAATGCACTCTGTATGGTATGATCTGTCTGTACTGCGCACAAAACTTTTCACTGTACCTAGGCACATGTGGCAAAAATAAATCAAATCAAATTTCTCCACTGTGGCAAGAAATCCCACATATATTTTAAAAGGATTAAACAAATTAAAGTTTGTTTTCCTAGCTTCTAACTCCATCGCAGAATCCCTACAGAGCAGCAGGAACCCATTCGGCCCATCGGCTCTGCACGGTCCCTCCAAAATGCATCCCACCCAGATCCAGCACCCCACCCTATCCCTGTAAATCTGCATTTCCCATGGTTAACCTACCTAGCCTGCACATCCCTGGACGCTACGCACAATTTGGCACAGTCAATCCACCTAACCTGCACATCTTTGAACTTCTGTATGTGTCAATAATCAATTTTGCCATTTATTGGTCTGGATTTTGAACCCAGAAATTAGGCAGGCTGCCTCCTTCACACACCCCGTAAGCAAATGCAAACTAAAATATGTCAAGGGTCCAGACCCGAAACGTCAGCCTTCCTGCTCCTCTGATGCTGCTTGGCCTGCTGTGTTCCTCCAGCTCTACACCTTGTTATCTAAAGTATGACAATGTTGCCTTTGTAGTCAACTTCCTACTTGTGATATTATCCCTCTGCTGAATGACTTCCTGGCCTACACTCCTGACTGGGTGTGGTGATCCCCTTTGACACCCTAATTGGCCTTCTTCCTGCTGAATAGATACTCATTGTCCAAACACGTGTCAGATGGTCAAAGAGGCAGTTGGAGTAGAACAAACCACTCCCATTTTGTTCCACCAACCTCATCCTGCCAAGAGACATGAAATCCACTTTGTCATTTTAGGATTCTATATTTTAGATTCCCGGTTTGCTCACTGTGGCAATATTTCACTGTGGTTGCTTGAATGACATCACTGTTACTGGATACATGCAGATCCCCTCAATCTGGTCAGAGATAGTAGGAACTGCCAATGCTGGAGAATCTGAGATAACAAGGTGTAGAGCTGGATGAACACAGCAGGCCAAGCAGCATCAGAGGAGCAGGAAAGCTGACGTTTCGGGTCTGGACCCTTCTTCAGAAATGCATTTGCTTACGGGGTGTGCGAGGGACGCAGCCTGCCTAATTTGTGGGTTCCAAATCCAGACCAATAAATGGTGAAATTAATTATTGACACATACATAAGTCCAAAGATGTGCAGGTTAGGTGGACCCTCAATCTGGTGCTAGTTTTAAAACTGCAGTTGGGAGAAAGGGAATACCATGTTGTTGAGATTGCCAGTTCCTTATGAACTTTCCCAATGAGATGGCAAGAACGTTGGCTTCACCACAAAAGGAAAATCCAATCAATGAGTACTGTGTACCTATATGTCCATATATATGTGGGGGCTGCTCTATAAGCACAGTCCAAAGCTGTTTGTATGTGTGTACATCCCTTAGCACTACATATTAGGATTGGGAGTTCCATTGTGTTAATGACCAGAAGCACAACTAATCAGCATGCAAATTGAAATCACTTGGTCTGAAGATCTAGAAGTTTGGGGCGATGAATTGTTCAGGTAACTACAACACATCTGATTCACCTTCATTTACATCTACTCACTAAACCTTCCTTCCATAAATATTTCTGCCTCTCTGAGGAGGCCACACTCACAAATCCATTACAAACAGACCATGTGCACAATCCCATTTCAAATGGGCCATATCTACAATCCCATTACAAACACAGCATACCCATAATCCCATTGCAAGATGACCATACCCACAATCCCATTGCACACTGACCATACCCATAATCCCATTGCACAGACCATGTCCATAATCCCATTACAAACAGACTATACCCATAATTCCATTACAAGATGACCATACCCACAATCCCATTGCACAGACCATACCCACAATCCCATTACAAACTGACCATACCCACAATCCCATTACAAGATGACCATACCCACAATCCCATTGCACAGACCATACCCATAATCCCATTGCACAGACCATACCCATAATCCCATTACAAACAGACCATCCCCACATTCCCAGTGCAAACAGACTACATCCACAATTCCACTATAAACAGACTATGCCCTGTAATGATCGTAATGAGGTCAGCCAGGTGGACTTTATCGAACAGGAGTTCCCTGATTGGTGCTGTTAATCTGGTCCAAACAGGGAGCCCTGGCTGACAGATAAAAAGAGGCCAGTCAGAGATTCTGGGTGATGACTCAGATGAGGCTGTGCCAGAGACAAGGACTCTCCACGTGGGAATTAAGGGGGACTCGGTGACAGGATATTGCTGGCCTCCGTGGAATTATTTCAGCCTGACTCCCAAATACAAGCACTTTGAATCAGAGGTAGTAGGAACTGCTGAAGCTGGAGAATCTGAGATAACAAGGTGTGGAGCTGGATGAACACAGCAGGCCAAGCAGCATCAGAGGAGCAGGAAAGCTGACATTTTGGGTCTAGACCCTTCTTCAGATTTCTGAAGAAATCTGAATCTCATTTTCTCCCCCTTCACCCCTTCCTCACCATATCTCCTTCTTTCCCTTCCTCCACTCATTCTTGACCCCCTGCACCCCTCAAGACTCGCCACCTTTCTCTTGTCTCCTCAACCCCTCACCTCCTCACTTCTTCCTCTCTCATTTCCTGGCTTCCTCCCCTTTTTCCACCTCCTCCTCGTATGGCACTCTGCTGAAGGCTTGGAGCAGTGCCCTCTGGGCCCAGTGTAGTGGTGGTCTCTCGGCCCAGTGTAGCGGTGGCGGTCTCACAGCCCAGTGTAGTGGTGCCCTCTCGACGCAGTGTAGCAGTGACGGTCTCTCGGCCCAGTGTAGCGGTGGTGCCCTCTCGGCCCAGTGTAGCGGTGACGGTCTCTCGGCCCAGTGTGGCGGTCTCTCGGCCCAGTGTAGTGGTGGTGCCCTCTCGGCCCAGTGTAGCGGTGATGGTCTCTCGGCCCAGTGTAGCGGTGACGGTCTCTCGGCCCAATGTGGCGGTCTCGCGGCCCACCGTAGTGGTGCCCTCCCGGCCCAGTGTAGTGGTGGCGGTCTCTCGGCCCAGTGTAGCGGTGGTGGTCCTTCGTCCCAGCCTAAAGATGATTCCAGAGCATTCTCCCAGCCTCGAAATGAAGCCTAGTGCAGCCTGGAGTCAAGGCCAGGTGTGGACTGGAGTCTAGATGCCAGCGTGGACTGGGGTGGAAGGACTGTTATTCTGAATTTTTATTTCTTGACTTTTATAACTTATTCCTAGAATCTGTAATGCTGAACTTTTATTTCTTTTTCTTCTAAATCTTTTGCCCCTAGAATTTGTACTTAAGAATCTGTACCCAGGTATCCTTATACCTAAGATGGTGCTGTAAGTGGTGACTTGTAAACTTTTCAACGTACTTATTTGAGAATAGGTGCCAATAAAGCTAATTCCAGTTCTCATTCCATACAGACAAAAATGCATGAGTTAGAAGCTATGTTCAGTCCCTCGAATCTGCAGTGTATGATAAGCTCTTGGGCAATTTGATTGTGGTCTCTACTCCATTTTCCTGCTTAACCCCCATAACCGTAAAATCTCTGCAGACCTAATCTCTCCAGCCTCCGGTGCTGGAGAAAATCCCACAGACTAACAAGTCTCCAACAGAAAAATATTCTCCCCATCTCCGCCCTAAATGGGAGATCCCTAAGTTTTGAACCCGTGTCCCTTAATTCTGGATTCCCTCGCAAGGGGAAACGTCCTACCCAGCACCACCCAGTCAATCCCTGCAGGGTAGTTTCAATAAGATCAGCTCAGCTTTCCTGTTTCCTGCAGTTACAAGCAGACAGCAAGAGGTGGCAATGTAGCTCTGGAAATGCCACACA